GTTTAGGGCTTAAGGGATTTAGGAGCTTCAGGATTCAGGGTTTAGAGTTTTAGGGGCGGTTTAGGGATTTAGGGTTTAGGGTTGAGAGATAAAGGTCTTGAAGTTCGAGGTGCCCTCCTGGATCTACCCGACGACACAACGAAATGGTTAGGGTTTAGGGTTTAGGGTCTTGATGCCTCGCGCATCTGGAAAAGGCATATGTCTCCCCTGTCACATCACGCTCCACAGGCTCCTGAGGACTTGCTGTTAAGGCACTCACTGAAATTAGAGTCCCCCTTAAGTAGATAGAATATGGCTTTGGGTATATTAAGATAAGATCCCCATATACGCCTTATTCTATCTACTTAAGGGGGACCGTAAGTTCATTGAGCATCACGGTACCTAGTGGGATTGGCTGCTCCTCGCCGGACTATAATATCAATTGCCTCAACATGGAGCTGCGCAGATTGTTTGACCTAAACCCTAAATACTCTGAACCCTGAACCCCAAGATAAATAGAAATTGTATAGGGCCATAAACAAGTAAAATCCATAAAACAAAACCGTTCAAAAGTCGCTCAAACCTCCACAAACGAACGCTATTTCTATATACCGCGTGACTTAAGCTCCTTGACAGCAACTCAGCACAAGCCTCTTGAGGTTTATATAGGGATTATGTAGGGACATGGCTTTGGGGGTCACATGGACACCCAATAGGGATATATAGCATATATATGTATATGTATATGTATATGTATATGTATATGTATATGTATATGTATATGTATATGTATATGTATATGTATATGTATGTATATTTGTATATCATACAAACTTAAACCCTAAACCCTGAATCCCTAAGCCCTAAATCCCTAAATCCCCAAACCCTAATCCCCAAACCCTTAAACCCTTAAACCCTAATCACTAAAGGCGCGGTGGTTTTTTTTTCAAAGGTTTGGCTCCACCTTTTTTCTTTAAAGGTTTATCTCGATACTGTCGCTCGTTTCCTTGTAACTGTCATCATGTTTAGACACTTAGATACGAAAAGTGTCAACTGTCACAGGGATCGTCGCCATCCTCGTAACTGTTGACGTTTCTCAACTCTCGGATGATGTTCTAAGCTCA